TGTTATTTATACTGGTTTAAATACAGCAAAAACAGTGTAATGTTACAGTCACACATCATGAAAGAACAGGTTAGTATTTATAACAATGCTGATGTGTGATGTGGACGTTAATTTGTCCCGTTTGTTCTTTCAGTCAACAGGCAGGTTAATATTTTTTTCTGTGATTTTACCAGATACTGCCTTCAATTTAACAATAAAGGAAATTCTGTAGTTAAAACAGTAAAGAAAAATATCTTCCATTTTTCAATCCTCAAAATGAATCATTTTTCTTTCAAATAACAAAATAAAAATTTGCAAAATAATTATATTTTTAGCAAATTTAAGTACAGTACAGTTAAGTACCGTCCTCACAGTCAGTGTGTGAAAACACAGTAAAAAGGAAATTACTATTTGTAAAAATGTATTTTTCGTGACCTCAAACTTTCAATGTGGACATTATTGACAGCTTTCTTTTGTTTTGTTTTGTTAGTATTTTTCAAGGTTAGCATGTAAATTGATATTTTTTTCTGTGATTTTACTAGTTATTATTTGTATTATCTTGTATTGTACAGAGAGCACAGCCTCAGAGGATCCAATCAGCCTCTACAATACGTACATCGTACTGATTGGGAGCAGGAGTTGTATGTTTGGGACCATCCGGCTGCACGACCACAGGAAGCCTGAACACTCTGGACACTCCGGTGTTGAAGTCGTTATTTTTTATTAATGAACTCTGCAGGTTGTAGACGTTTGGTCCTGGGATGCGTCTCTGGAGGCTCCTGGCTGCCTGGAAGAGAGACGATAGGATGAACTTTTACTGCAGCAACTCTTCTTTAAACGATTTTATTACAGCGCTGGACAGAAGGAAACACTGCGCAGATCTTTTTATGGCTCTTTCAAAGACATTTGATTCAGCTGATCATTGCTTGCATGTAATAATATTAGTTTTGATGAAATGCTTTTAAATGATTCAATCAGAATTTGTAGAAGTTGCAAACGGTGTCCCACAAAGCTCAATCCTGGATCCCATTCGGATTGTCTGATTGTTTAGTCAAACAATCAGTTCAAGTATTTATGCAAAGAAAAAATATGTCAAATTCACTAATTACAGGTTCTTAAATGTAGATGTTTTCTGGATTCTTCCCTCCTCTATGACAAGATATTGAACATATTTGGCTTATGGACAAAATAATGGTATTTAGAAAACACAGAATTATTATTTATTGATTTATTTTAACATCTTCTGACACATTAGAGACCAGACAACTGACTGATTGATTATCAGTTGAGAAAACAATCGACAGGATGTGTTTTTGTACACTCCTGGTGACTTAAATCTGTTCAGATGGCTTCCTGACCTTTGATGCAACAAAGCCGGAGGTGCCTTTCTTTGAGAAAGACGGACTGCTGACTTCAGCGCTGGAAATACAGTCGTAGCTGCCTGGTCCTGGAGTTTCATTCTGAAACAGAAACACAACATCATGTGTTCTTGTTGAATTCCCAGTTTTCAGTTTACAGTGATGTTGGCAGATGAGAGTCCTACCAGACAGTAGAGCGAAGGAAACCTCTTGGTCTGAGATGAAAACCCCTTCTTCTCCTCATTTATTATCACCACTGCTTGGTATTTTGATGGTATTGAGGGTGAAACAATCTGACGTGCTGCTACATAAAACAAGAACCACCGGGTCACATGAAATAAAAATAAAGAAATAGATAAAATTCACTTAAACTCACTTTTATTGGATCCTCGGTACATGTGGCCCATGGTTCACCTAAATGACTCGCAGAAAGTGAAGTTGGAGTAAAATCTGAAGCCTTTTTGGATTTCTTTTGGTCGCTATGGCGCTTTGAAAACACCGTGATTCGTCATATCGCGAGACTTCAGCGCCATCTGTCGGCGGCAGCGGGGTGAACCGGAGCTCATCTCACCGAGCAGCCGCCGGTGTTTTGTTCCAGAGAGCTCCATCCATCATGGCGATGCACGCTAAGGCGACTCCACCGCAGATCCCGGACACCCGCCGGGAGCTCGCTGAGCTGGTGAAGAGGAAACAGGAACTCGCTGTAAGTTTCTGCGATTTTATCAGAGACAAAGGCGTCATTTAGCGTTTTATTACATACAAACGCAGCTAATGTTAAATTTGTTTCGGCACAGTGCTAGCCGAGGCCTGGCTAAGCTAATGCTAGCAGTGGCTCTCACTCCATGTAGCTTGTAGCTAATTTAGCTAGCGTGTACAGAAAGTAACGTTATTAGCTAGTGTGTTATCATTTACTGCACTGGTAAGGTTTAACGCCATCACTCGATTTTTACTAGTTTGTTTTCTGAATATATTTTATTTAAAACTAACTCACCCGCATTCCTGCGGGACTCTTGACCAAATATGCTAGCTAGTTAGCATGGCTACATATTAGCCGCCGCCCGGTTTGACAAAGTTCTCGCTTTTTCTCGCGTCATCTCGCGTTACTTCATGACCCCTACACTGTACACTGGACAGCAATACAGATGTTAAATATTAGTTACTGTTAGAGCTGAAACTCTTGCAGGTTTACTCACAAATCAATAGTCATGTGGTTTTCTGTGCTGTTGTAGTAGTTAATATACACTAAACTCAATGATGTTTGGGCTTCAAAAATATTAATGCAACTGTTTGCGTCTGTATTTTTAAATTACAACTTCTTACGTGTTCATGTTCAACAAATAAACAACACTGAGTAAAGGGATAAAGCTTTTCTTTTCCTATTATGAACAGCCTTAACTGCCTGAAATTGTCTGGGCGTGTTATTGTAGGTGAGGGACTTTTGTTATTAAGCCAATTTCATTCAACTACCTCAGCTTGAATTTAAAAACTTATGCAGATTTTAATTTAATTGGCATGCAGTATTAAATTGATACAACAATGATATTTCAACCCAACATTAGAAAATAATGTTTGCAACTTGAATAGTTTATCTAAATCTGTGAATTAGATTTCTATGTCTCACAATCATGCTTTGAGATCAGTGGTGACGCTGGTCATGGCGACACGCAGCAGTGTGTGAGACGGGTGATGATGTGGCTGTTTCTTAATGTGTTTTTAGTGTTTTTCTATCACTTATTTTAACCATAGACTGTATAAAAGATGGACGTAGCTACCGTGACGTCACCTGTTGGTTTCTGCACTGAGAAAATGAAGCCAGAGTTTTGCTACTTCCTGGTTGACATCTTGGATTTTTGACGTAGTGATGCTACAGGTTTTTGACACTTCCGAGTTGGCTTCATTTTTCCGGGCTGGTTGCTACGTCCATCTTTTATACAGTCTATGATTTTAACTGATTTCTTTAAGTGTTCATGGGGGATAATGGCGGCAGGGACTCACCCAAGTTTGGTGGAAATCCTCTTGCTTTCTGCACTTTTATGCCACTTTTAACATGGAGTTTGGGTGTGTTGGAAACCCATCCAGTACAGCCCTGATTTTTTGCTCCTGCTTCGTGACTCCGGGATCGGCACCATGGATTCCTCGGCAGCTGTCCCCATGGAGATCTACCCGCTGAACCCACCCATGGGGAACCGGACCCGAGCCTCTGGGCAGAGGCGTACGAGGAAAAGAGGGAGACGTGGCGGACTGCTCCAGAGGCTGAAGCGGCAGGGCCACCATCGGATACCCCTTCCAACTGTCACCCTGGCGAACGTTCAGTCGCTCCGGAATAAAGTGGACGAGCTTCAGGGCAACGTCAAATACCTGGCTGAGTACAGGGACGCCTGTCCTTTGGCCCTGACAGAGACGTGGCTTAAAGAGCAGGACCCTCAGTCAGATCTGGAGATTGACGGTTTTGGAGCTCCATATCACCTTGACAGAGACCCCGCAGCGACCGGCAAGTAACTCGATGGGGGGGTGTGTCTCTATGTCAATGAAAACTGGTGTAAGACGGTGATTGTCAGGGAGACACTGTGCACACAAGACATTGAACTATTGTCTGTATCCATTCGACCCTTTTATCTGCCCAGAGAATTCCCGTTGGACATGTCAGACCGCAGTGTTGTTTGCTTGATTCCGTCATACAAATCTGTCCTGAAGAGGAACAAACCAGAGAGACGTTTGGTCAGAGGAATCAATCTTCTGCCTTCGGGACTGCTTCCACTGTACAGATTGGAATTTGTTCAAAAAAGTCTGTGTGGATCTTGACGAACTAACTGAAGTGGTCTCTTCTTATGTCTCTTTTTGTGAGGCCTCCATCATTCCTCGGAACGAAATTTCCTTCTATCGGAACAACAAGCCGTGGGTGACGAAAAGTGTCAAGAATATAATTAATCAAAGAAACATTTGCTTCTTACAGGGTGACACTGTACAACAAAGACAGCTTCAGAAACAGCTCACAAAGGAGCTCAAACCAAGTGCATGTACAAGGACAAGGTGGAGAGCATGCTCAGTGCGGGCAGCTCTCGCCCTGCTTGGGAAGGCGTGAAATCCATGATGAGGATGCAGTCCAAAAAAGGTCATATCACCCTGAACAGAAAGTCTGATCTGCTGCTTTCCAACGAACTGAACAGTTTTTACAACCGTTTTGATGTTTATGATTTTAGTGATGAACTGTCAGCTTTTAGAAATATTGGCTCTTCTCAGAGCCAGAATAACAAAGTCTGTGAACTCTTCCGTGGCGTCAAGGAGAGGAAAAGTCCTGGCCCTGATAGCATTGAAGGTTGTGTTCTTAAGCACTGTGCTGTCCAATTGGCAGATATATTTAGTTTTATCTTTTTAACGTCCCTCCAGCTCCACAGGGTTCCCTCTCTTTGGAAAGACTCCATTATTGTCAAAGAGTCCATTCTGACCTGCGTCCAGGATAAGCTGGACCCACTACAGTTTGCTGACAGGTCAGGCAGAGGAGTTGAAGATGCAGTAGGCACCCTGCTAAACTTGGTTTTAACCCACCTTAAGGGAGCTGATTCCTTGGCTCATCTTTTATTTATTGATTTCTCGTCTGCTTTTAATTGCATTCATCCATCATCTCTACTCCTTAATCTTCACTGGGGTGGTGGGGGACTGGAGTCTATCCCAGCTGACTCAGGGTGAAGGCAGGTTCACCTGGACAGGTAACCAGTCTATCACAGGGCTACACTTAGAGACAGACAA